AATCAGTGGCACTATAGTGTAATGTGGTTATAAAGAAGAAAAATTCTTTCTGAGAAGGCAGCACAAACTTACATTTCCTTTTATTTAGCGCTTAGCTTATAAATGTGCATGTCCAACCTGGCCAAAGGCACAATGGTAACCTCAGATGATTTCCATGCAACCATTCCACAGACTTAGTGAGTCTGCCTCCAATGAGGGAAACTGTGGTTTTAAAGGGGGATAAATCTTCACTTATTAAGGAAACTCACCTACTCAACACGTTAGAAGTCCTAACATCTAGCCCAATGCTTGATGCATAGCAAATTAATAAATGTTGCTTGGCTGAGTAAATGAATGATTTTCACCTTCATTAGATTTTAAATTCTTTGAGACCCGCTTGTAACAATAGTTGCTGAATAAAGGAGGCACGAAACTAGCCACTAGGTGGTACCAGGGAAGGTTCAGGTGGGCAGAATGCTGGTATCTGTGGTCTTCTATCACCCTCTGGTGGGGAAGGGCAGAGCACGGTCCTCCAGTGCCTTAAAATCTCATGTTTTTCAAACTACAGATCCCCCCACTGATTCGTGAGTTGTAAAATCAGTTCAGCGGGTCATGACCAGCATTTCTAAAAATTTAATTTATAATGAAACAGAAAATATCAGAGTATCTCATACATAGCAGAGGCATATTCTGTCACGAACTATCATAAAGCTATGTTTACAGCTATGTTTATGTATCTATTAGCATGCACATTCACTCATATGCTACAGATATATTTTTATGTGTGTGCTAGACTACAGTGTGATTTATCGATACATGTTCAACAATGAGCTCTCTAAGACAATGTGTATAAGTATATATGTGCATAGGTTTATCATAAGGGTTTCTTAACACAAGGTGTGTAGCACAGATTTTATAAATCATGACACGCACAAATATTTTTTACTGTAAATTTCAGATAGTAAATTGATTCTCACAGGATGCTTTCACTGATTTTTGCTGGACTCTTGTATCTATAAACACCTTAGTGTTTCAGTTCAATCGTGACAAATGGAATTGCATCTCTATCTAGATAATCAACAAACCAGATAAAGCCCCGGTTTATAGTGATTGTCAGTTTCACTGGTGTAAACTTCCATCGTGGCTGGTTTTAAGCTCCCAGTGTGGTTTGCTGAACCCACAGCTGAGAAAACCAGCCTGGAACATACCATACAGATACAGTGGGTGCAAGTAATTCTAAGAGCAAAGGTAAATAAGGACATATAGTAAACTAATTAGAAAATAATGAGTTTTGAATATTTATATTGAGTTTAGTTGTTAGTTTATATAATGTAATTTTAAATAATGGCTGTGTTTAATGATCAGCTTGCAAAAGCCATGAAAACCTAACACTCTGCTCTCACAGGCCTGAATAGGTTGGCTTCAGCACACTGTTGGACTCAGGACAGAAACATGGATTTTCTGATATGGGTTGAAGTAGAAGGAAAGGAAAGAAAGAAGGAAGGAAGGAAGGGGAGGGAGGGAGGGAGGGAGGGAGGGAGAAATGAAGGAAGAAAGGAAAGAAAGAAAGAAAATGAAGAAAGAAAGAAAAAGGAAGGTAGGAGGGAACGAAAGAAGGAAGGAAGAAAGAGGAAGGAAGGAGGGAGGAAAGGAAGGAGGAAAAGAAAGAAAGAAAAGAAAAAGAAGAATGAAAAGAAGGAAGGAAATGAGGAGAGAAAAAGGAAGGAAGGAAGGAGGGAGTGAAAAGGAAGAGAAAGAAAAAAAGAAAAAAGGAAGGAAGGGAGAAAGAGAGGGAGAGAAAAGAAGGAAGGAAGGAAGGAGGGAGGGAGGGAGGAAGAAAGGAAAGAAACTTCTCTATAGACTTACAAATTTTCAACTCTGGGTTTAACCTAATCTTCAAAATTCTCCAGGGATGAAGCTGCAAGGTCTTAAGTAGATCAAACCCAAATCCTTTCTTTTCTTTTTTTTTTTTTAAAGATTTTATTTATTTGACAGAGAGAGGGATCACAAGTAGGCAGAGAGGCAGGCAGAGAGAGAGAGGGAGAAGCAGGCTCCCCGCTGAGCAGAGAGCCCAATACGGGGCTCAATTCTAGTACCCTGAGATCATGACCTGAGCCGAAGGCAGAGGCTTAACCCACTGAGCACCCCAGGCGCCCCAAACCCAAATCCTTTCTACAGAAATACAGATCCTGGGTGCCTGGGTGGCTTAGTTGGTTAAGTGCCCACCTTCAGCTCAGATCATGATCTCGGGATCCTGGGATTGGGCCCCACATCAGGCTCCGTGTTCAGCGGGGAGCCTTCCCTCTCCCTCTGCCTGCTGCCCCCCCTGGTTGCACTCTCTCTCTTTCAATATAAATAAATAAAATCTTAAAAAAAAAAAAAGAAAGAAATACAAACCCTGAACGTTTCAGGAGGTACATTTTTGGAAGTTCGGTTTGGGTGATGTCTAGAATTTCTGTTCACCCAGCACCCTTTTACCTTTTCTTGGGGTGGGGGTCAGCATCTGGATTTTCACTAATGAAACATTTTAACAATGTCCAGTGTACCTCCCTGTTCTTAACCCTTGTGCATTTTGCTATGGAAAGTAACAATAACTGAGCACCTACCAAACTTCAGAAGCTAGAGATGGTTTCAGGTATTATCCACAAGCTGCCTTCACAAATAACATCTTCCTAGCTGTGTAGTTTTTATTACCAATCATGAAAAACCAAACTGGTACGATCACCACTATATTTTCTTTTTAATATGCAACTTCTTGAAAGCCCAGAGACATCTTGCTATGGAAGAACCCTGATTAGGTAAATGCAAATTTACAGATATGAAGATCATCTTGAGGTGGTTTAGTTTATTAATTCTCTGCACGAGAGACTTTAAACATTAGCCCATTCTAGGCATAAATCAGGCCAGTGTTCCCCGAAGTTTGGTAGCTATCCTTGATTTAGGTGCGTGAGATTATTTTAGGCGGCTGGTGATGATGAATATTTCAATATAAATATTTTATTTGTAATAGAATAAATATAACTGATGCACAGAATCCATGATTTCAAGGATATTTTTGGCTTGAGAGGCTGTTCGGGAGGTATTCAAGTTTGAAGCATGTGCTGTTTAAAGAAAAGCTTTAAGTAAATAATAGTATTTGGTGGTGTATGGACATAGAACAATCAGTTAAGGTGTTTATAATGGCTTGAAGAGTGACCTCTAAAAAGATGTGTCTTAACCCCTGGAACCTGGGAATGTGACCTTATTTGGAAATAGGGTCTTTGCTGACATAACTAAGGATTGTCTCAAGAAATTCTGGATTTAGGGTAGATCCGACATCCAAGGACTATTGTCCTGATAAGAAACAGAATCAACAATCAACAAACCAGATAAAGCCCTGGTTTATAGTGATTGCCAGTTTCACTGGTGTAAACTTCCATGTGGCTGGTTTTTTTTTTTTTTTTTTCCCAATTTTTTTTTTTTTTTTAGACAGATCACAAGTGGGCAGAGAGGCAGGCAGAGAGAGACAGGAGGAGGAGGCAGGCTCCCTGCTGAGCAGAGAGCCCGATGTGGGACTCGATCCCAGGACCCTGAGATCATGACCTGAGCCGAAGGCAGAGGCTTTAACCACTGAGCCACCCAGGCGCCCCATGTGGCTGGTTTTAAGCTCCCAGTGTGGTGTTGCTGAACCCACAGTTGAGAAAACCAGCCTGGAACAGAGAGGAGAAGGCCACGTGCTGCTGATGGAGGCAGAGACCCGAGCTATAAAGTTACAAGCCAAAAGCCACCAAAAATTGCCTGCAGGCACCAGAAGCAGGGAGAGAAGCATGGACAGGAGTGTCTCCACAGTCTCTAGAAGGAACCAACACTGCCAATCCCTTGGGATTTCTGGCTTCCAGAACTGTGAAAAAATAAATTTCTGTTGTTCTAAGCCAAGGAGTTTGTAGTAGGAAACAGGAAACAACCGGTTTCCTGCTCAGTGGGGAGCTTACTTCTCTCTCTCCTTCCCACCTATGCTCTCTCTTGCTATCTCTGTCCCTCTCTCTCAAATAAATAAATAAATTAATTAAAAAAAAAAAAAGAACTTTAGGGGCATCTGGGTGGCTCAGTCCACTGGGGGGTCTGTCTTTGGCTGGGGTTGTGATCTCAGGGTCCTGGGATAGAGCCCTGCATCAGACTCCCTGCTCAGCGAGGAGTCTGCTTCTCCCTCTTCCTGCCCCCTGCTCATGCTCTTGTTCTCTCAAGTAAATAAAATCTTTAAAAATAAATAAATAAATAAAAGAAATAAAAAAAGAAGTTTGTAGTAATTTGTTATGGCAGTCCTAAGAGACTGATACAATGCGGGATAGGGGGAGGTGAGGAGCCTGAAATTTGGGAAACACTGAGTTAGGAACCCAGCCATGATGGGGGGGGTCAGAGGGTTTAGCTCTGTGATAAACCGAGTGACTGAGTCACCACACCGTTATCTGATCCTAACCCCCAGAGTCCAGCATTTTCACTCAGTACAATAGTTGTTTTAAAAGCTTTTTTAAAAAATCTAATAACTAAACATTTAAATTGAGTAATTATTTTGTGCACTTCTTTTCTAATAAAATTAAATCTCATTTCCCTATACCTGGATCACCCTAATGACCTCGGGTTCATACACTAACTCTTGCGAAGGGTTGAGCTCCTCTTGTCTCCCCGTTTTACAGAGGAGAAAACTAAGGCGCGGATGGAGGCGGTGTCTCCAAGCTTTTAGGAGAGACTAAATGGTGCTATGACCGCTTCTCTAATTCCTACATACTGCATTTACTCTTCCCCATCTCCAGCAAATACTCCCAGGAGAGCTTCTTCCCAGACCCAGAACAAGACTCCTCGCCTGCCGCCTGGCGGCGGGACTGGGAAGAGAAGAGGGCTGGCGTTCCGGAGTGGACGCGCTGCAGAGGCCGCCAGTGGCCGGGAGGGGGAGCGCGTGTGCGCGAGCGCTCCGGGGTGGGGCTCGCGGGCGGCGCGCATGCGTCCAAAGGGACGCCGCGGCTTCTTCCGAGCGCAGGGCACGACGGTGGCCGAGAGGATTCGGGGAAGCGGACGGTGGCCGACGAGGTCGGGCATGGAGCATCTGGAGTGCTGCGCGAGGCTCCTCCGGAGAACGCTGGTGCACGCGGCCGTGCGGCGCTACCTTCCCTGGGCGCTGGCGGCCTGCATGCTGGCGGGCTCCCTCCTCAAGGAGCTCTCCCCGTTGCCCGAGAGCTACCTCAGCAACAAGCGCAACGTCTTCAACGTGTGAGTACGCCCCGGGTCCTCTCCTGTCCCTGCCCTAGCCGACCCCCCGTCGCCTCGTCCATAGAGCAGGGGCTTAGCTGCCCTGATGGACGAGCCATGGGACGGGGAGGCCCTCTTCATTGTGACAGCTGCATCTGCGCGCGTGTCGCGCCCGAGGAACCCCGAATGGCTGTGTCACTAGCAGTTGATGTCTGCACGCCCAGACGAGCCGGCTGGAGTTGACTGGGCAGGGAGTGCCGGGCAGGGCTGTGTGTGTGCGCGCGCGCGTGTGCGGGGCTCGGGGGGTGGGGATGGGGCGTTGAATTAACCTCTGTCGCGGCGCCCCCCCCACCTCCCCTTGGACTTAGGAGTAAGCCCCGGACCTGCTTGGAGATGCCACCTTCCTCCTGCCTATCTGCGTCAGACCCCGCGCGGAGTCCGACCCCATACCCACCCCGCCCCTATCCCCGGCTTGTGACAGAATCCCGTCACTACCTGTGCCTTCTCGCCCTGACACCGCTAACCTTTGCGAGCCTCGCCCCCGCCTATGATGGGAACCCCGCTCCGAGATAGTCCCCGAGGAGCGGAGTCCTCCAGCCTCTGACCTTTACCCTGGATCTCCTTGGACCTTCTCAGCCACTCAAAGTTCATGGCAGTGGCCCAGGGAAGCAAGCCCAGTTGTGTTCTTTGAGACACCTCCTTAACTCCACCCGCTCGCGCCTTTTCTTCTTTATTGTTTTTAACTCCTGGATTTCAAGGGTTTTGCACAAAAACACTTGCAGTAGTAAAGTAGTACAATTTTATCTGAAGGATAAAACTTCTGCCTTGAAGTGAGCTTAGATTCTTTAGAATTAGAGTGTCAGCAAGATCTCCCAAAAAAATCAGCCCAACTTCGGTTATCTACTTAAAACCCTGGTTTCTCTCCCCAGCAGTGACAGATCGTGCATGTCAGTTCCCAGGGAAGATGTGAATGACAGGCTCTTGGATGGTGATTGAGTAGCCCTGGAAACCCAGGAAAAAGTCATCCTGTCCTTGGCCCCCCCTTCCTTCCTCACCCATCGGTGGTGGCTGGGCTAAGAATAGATGGTGATGAGTGTGGTTGTAGCCCCAAGCCTCTTGCATGTGTGTTTCCCATGGCTGGTCCCCAGGTCAGCCACCTTTGACGAGCGAGGGGAGGCAGACAGGCAGCCGCTGCTTTATCTGGCCTGGGTGGGCTGGGAGCCAAGTGGCCTGGCAGACAAGCCCCTGTTGTTTGTGGGTAACCATGACCACGGATTCTGACATTTTGTTCCAAGCCTCTGTGCTAATTGGAGGGAACGACTGAATCATTGGCTCTGGGAGGGATTTAAAAACTCATTTGTTGGGGTGCCTGGATGGTGGCTCAGTGGGTTAATGCCTCTGACTTTGGCTCGGGTCATGATCTCAGGGTCCTGGGATCGAGCCCGCATCGGGCTCTCTGCTCAGCAGGGAGCCTGCTTCCCTCTCTCTCTGCCTGCCTCTTTGCCTACTTGTGATCTCTGTCTGTCAGATAAATAAATAAAATCTTTAAAAAAAAAAAACAACCTCATTTGTTCTTCTCAGCTCTATTTTACAGCTGGGGAAACTGAGGCCTGGAGACGTGTGGTAACAGGTTGAGTCAGAGTCAGGATTTGAACCCGGTCTTCTGGCTTGAACTCAAACTCTGTTCTGAGATCATTGCTGCCATGGAGGAAAGAGCCACGGTGTAGAAAAAACACGCGCTTTGGGGCTGGCCAAACCTAGATTTACTCTGGGCTCGCTGATAGTGTGATTGTGACCCTGGGCAAGTTACGGAACTTTTCTGAGCCTTGCATTCTCTATGAAACGGAGCAAATGAGACCTTCTTCCCAGGGTAACCATGAGTGTTCTATGTGTCCACTTTCCCAGGCCCTGGATCACAGGTTAAGATCACAGGCCTGGGATTTGAATCCCAGCGCCACCACTTAGAACCTCTACTTTGGTCATGATACTTCCATACCTCAGTTTTCTTATCTGTAAAATGGGGATAATAATAAGGATTTAGGAGTTATTCTGTTTGAAATTTAGTAAGTGAAGTTGTTATGTGTAGCTTTATATCAACTTTCCTTATTTCCCCTCCATTGAGAGTCTAGAGACCCGAGTCATGACCTTGTCTCCTCTCCGCCATGTCCCCTGTCTTCACTTCCACTTTCATCTTCTGCCAGGTATTTTGTCAAACTGGCCTGGGCCTGGACCTTCTGTCTCCTCCTGCCTTTCATTGCCCTCACCAACTACCACCTGACAGGCAAGGCCGGCCTGGTCCTGCGGCGGCTGAGTACCCTGCTGGTGGGCACGGCCATCTGGTATGTCTGCACAGCCCTCTTCTCTAACATCGAACACTACACAGGCAGCTGCTACCAGTCGCCCTCCCTGGACGGGGTCAGAAAGGAGCACCAGAATAAGCAGCAGTGCCATGGGGGAGGAGGCTTTTGGCATGGCTTTGACATCTCGGGCCACTCCTTCCTGCTGACCTTCTGCGCCCTTATGATTGTGGAGGAGATGGCCGTGCTGCATGAGGTGAAGACAGACCGGAGCCACTGCCTACACACAGCCATCACCAGCCTGGTGGTGGCCCTGGGCTGCCTGACCTTCATCTGGGTGTGTATGTTTCTGTGCACAGCCGTTTACTTCCACAACTTGACCCAGAAGGTGTTCGGCACCTTGTTTGGTCTGCTGAGCTGGTATGGGACCTATGGATTTTGGTATCTGAAGGCTTTTTCCCCAGGACTGCCTCCCCAGAGCTCTAGTTTGAATTTGAAGCGAGACAGTTACAAGGAATAAAAGAGAAACAAAAGGGGTGATGGCAGGACAATGGCTGATGTATTTTTTTCATTATTTTTCTTAGTTATTTAACTAAATTATTGACCCTACTTCAAAGAGGAAGCTTACCAGGAAGCTTTGGTGAGTGGTGGTGGAGTCTGGGGAGTGAGTTTAATCCCCACTCTTCTTGTCACAAGCGCCACCATTCCCAGTCCGGCACTTTTTGTCCCTGGCAAGGCTTGACCTTAATCTGTAATGTTCCTTTTGTCCCTGGAGGGCAGGGCTAACGCTCAGTGAGAGTACAGAACTAGGAAAGCCTCTGTTGTGTGGCTGAAGGGGAGGCCTGGGCCTTGGGACCCTTCTCTGCTGCCATCATTCTCTCCCTGATCCTGGAGTCTGGTATGGTTAATGCTGTGGTTTAACAGTATTGCCCTCGGGTCAGTTTTGCATAAGCATTTATTTCCAGCAGGGTTCTTTATAAACCAGCCAACTGCCGGAAAGACACTCTCTGGTGGAGGTATTTGCTTATCCTCAGAATGTTATATATTGCAACTGACTTGTGATTAGCTACCAAACCAGTGACACTGGAGTGCCTCTCCGGCTGAGTGTTGGATGATATTTATGTAATGCACATGGCTAGTTTTCTTTTTTTTTTTTTTTTTTTTAAGTTTTTTTTTTTTAAAAAAATTAATATTTTTTTTTCCCCAGGGGTACAGGTCTGTGAATCGCCAGGTTTACACACTTCACAGCACTCACCATAGCACATACCCTCCCCAATGTCCATAATCCCACCCCCCCAACCCCCTCCCCCCATTAACCCTCAGTTTGTTTTGTGAGATTAAGAGTCACTTATGGTTTGTCTTGAACATGGCTAGTTTTCTGTGTGTATTGTCTATTATGTATTGGTTTTTGGAGCAATAAGGTTACCTTTTTTTCCTACAATTTTGAGCAAATGCTTTGTTGTTTTTAATAACAACTATGGCATTTGTTTTTTGTTGACAAAACCCCCGAAAATAACCCAGAACTTCAATGCTGCCCTTTGGTACGTGTGTAGATAGCTTGAGGTTTGTTGGGGTTTTTTGCTTTTTTTTTTTTTTTTTAGAACACTGATTTACTTTTTATAATCAAAACTCTTGGCTTATAGTATTAAATTCCACCTCGCTTCAGGGGCTGTTTTCTCTATAAAGAATAAATTCCGAAAGGAGACGTTTTCATGACAACAGAATGAACTTTAAGCTGAGTCAGAGTAACTTTGCAAAATACATTCTTGGCACTGAAACTTTCCTGACCACGCATCGGCAGTTAATCTAAACAGCATGTTAGTAAGTACATCGATCAGTCTGCTCTGGCCCAAGGGATTTTTACATTTTGGATGAGATTATGATAGATCAGAGGTGAAGGAAGATGCTTCCATTGCCTCTGATGGCAAGAAGCCAACCTGTTTGCAAAAATGTCCTTATTAAATATCGGAGTGACTTTGGCCCCACCCTCCTACTTGTACCAACACCAGACCAAACCTAGGCCTGTTCAGCTGGCCTTGAAATCAATCTTTTCTTTCCCCATTGCACACTTCCCGATGTCTGACCTTGTCCTTCTGCGGCTTATCCACCCATGAAGGTGCGGTTACAGCTCTGTGACAGGGCACCCTCCCATCCCCCATGCCCCCGCAGGCTGCGTCCGTAGGCCTTTTGTACCCGGCCCCTTGCACTTTGTATAATCATCCTGGAAGCTTCCTTGATGTTCCTCCTCTCCCCCCAAGTTAAGCCTGATAATAGCATTAACCGACAAGCACTACACTTGACTGCCTTAACTCAAGCTTAGATTGTTAAGAGCTTGAGGCCCAGAAAATCTTCAGGGTAAACTGTCTTTCCTATAAAGATGTATTTAAAAAACCTGTAGCTGGTATCCCATCCAGCTGCATGTTAATTTGTATCCATGAAAATGGGACTTGTGACCCACTGTACCCAGAGGTGGCAGAAACACTGGCGCTGAGATTCCATAGGTGTCACCGGGGTGCTCTGGGAGCCTTGGCCAGATGTCACGGGCCCCTTGAGAAATTTTCTGCCCTCTGGAGTTTCCGTTTGTGAATGGGGAGTGGAAGAGGGTGTGGCGTAGGTGGCCGAGGCTGGTTGAAGGAGTTGGGCTCTCTCCTAAGTTTCGTGTTCAGCACCAAAAGGCAGCAGGCACTAGGTGACTCCACATGTTCATTTGCCGCATGTAAATCTCCAGCCGTTTCTCTTTCGCGGTTGGGATTAAGGCTCAGCGTTAAGTTAACTCTGTGCAAAGTGTCCGTGACTGACCCTCGTGTATTGAGTGGTCGTTCACCACTTCCTGTTCGGTCTTAGCACCCTCGCCTTTCTCTTGGGGACATGCCCCGTGTCCCCCAGTGAGAGCGCCTGGCGTAGCTGAGAGTGTGGGCTTCGGGAAACCCAAGACGTGGGTTCCAGTGTTGGCACCGCCGCTGAGAGCCGTCTGACCACAGCAAGCTTCATGGCCACATCTCGACAACGGAGGAGATGAAACTGGGAGGATTAAGGGCGGTGATGTAGGTAAAATGCCCCGCATTTCGTCTGTGCTCAGCAGACAATAATCCCTTGTCTCCCTTTTTGCCCTCCAAGCCTTTAAACTTCTTGGCTCCTCTGGGAAGCCAGGGAAACAAGCATCTACTTTTGAGTACCATTTGAGGTCTGGGTCTCCCATTGAAATAGTCGTGCATCATCTTCTGGAAAGTGTCTGTTGTCTCCAGGTGCTGAACAGGAAGCTTTGAAGGGCATCTGGGATCCCAGAACTCTGCCGTGCTTGTTTTGCCTCACTTGCTGAGGTTCATTCACTGACGCCTCATTCTCCATGTGCGTCTGTCGCCATCTGAGCGGCATATTGTATTTAGAGAATGGCTCTTGCCACTGTTATGCACACACAGATCGTGCGTGTAAACAGTCGAATTAAGTAAACTGGAGATAATGAAAACCCACATTCCATGTCTTGTGTGTTCTTTTCTAAAAGCCTTAAGAAACCCAGAACCGGGAAAGCTCAGCCTACTTGAGGACAAGGGTGTAGTTCTTACGGGAGCTGCTCCCTGTGTAAGGTGTTTACTTTTTTAGTTTCCTCCCAAATCCTATGAGCTAAGTTTGGTTTAGGTCCAGTCACATATTTCCTAACTTGATTGACTGCTTCCCTCTGTGCCATATCCTGGGGTCTGGATTAAGCAGATTGGGGAGTTTTCCTGGCAGAAGGAGAAGAGCGGAGCCTCACGGGAGTCGTGCTGGAGAGTGGTTACAGAGTTCACTCCCATGAGGTCACCTGGAAGAGTGCCCTGTGCCCTGGAGGCCTGGGCACATGTGAGGGCTTTCTGTGCCTTTTCGTGCCCACTCATTTGTCAGTCTGGCCTACTTGGCGTCACCAGGCAGCGTCTGTTGAAAACTCCACAGCTCCAGGATTAGAAGCTCCTCATACTGCAAAACTTCCTTCGGCGGCACCGAACTCCCACGGGGAGCCAGGAGCTGATGGGGTAGGATAAACTCCCTCCCCGCCTGCGTTGGTGGTCCAAAGTCCGTGCCCTTGGAGCTAACGGTGTGTGCTGGGGTTGCAGAGGAGAATTTGATCCATCTGTGCGCTCAAGGAATGGAAGATCTTGTGGAGAAGACATGGAAGGAGCCAGCGAGCACCGTCCAGTGTTCTGAGCGCTGGGGCAAGGTCAGGGCCTGGAACCAGAGAGTGGAGGACAACCGGCTGCCCTGGGGAGTGAGGGGATGTTTTCACAAAACATAACCAGTTAGGCAGAGAAGGAAACCCCAGGAAGTGAGAACAGGATGCACAAAAGCACAGATACGCTATGGGGATTTTTATCCAGACATCCCTTTTCAAGAAACCTACCGTTCTGCCCATTTTCAGGAGCAACAGAGCATGAAGAAAGCTAGACTTAAAGAAGGACCTTCAGCAGAGGTGATGGATGGGCCCTGCTGTGATAGGAAGAGCCCCCAGCTAGAAGTCAGGTCGCCTGGCTCCGAACTGGATTCTGCCATTGCTTGTGTTCCTTTCCCGTATTACTTCGAGTTGCTCGCTCACCAGCTCTGGCTCTCAGTTTCCTTATCTGATAAATGATAGCAGTGGACTGAGTAATCTCACCAACTCTTCTGGTCGATTCTGTTTCTCCATTCTGGGCGAAGCTTCCCAAGCTGGTTACGACTCCTATTTTAGGAAACCACATGAAAAGAAACTCCTACTCAGAGCCTAGGTGGCAGCTGGTTTTCTAGTGAGTGACGGAGGAACGTACCTCTGCATGCTCCTTATCACCCCCCGCCTTTAGTCTGCATTAGTAGCCTAGTGCACCTCGGACCTGACGGCAGGTGTCCACTGGACTTTCAGGACGTTGGGAGCTGAGCCTTATTCCCAGAGGGGTGAGCTGCAGAAGCCTTAAAAAAAAAGTCTCTAGGGGCACCTGGGTGGCTCAGTGGTTGAGCCGCTGCCTTTGGCTCGGGTCATGGTTTCAGGGTCCTGGGATCAAGTCCCGCATCGGGCTCTCTGCTCAGCAGGGAGCCTGCTTCCCTCTCTCTCTCCCTCTGCCTGCCTCTCTGCCTACTTGTGATCTGTCTCTGTCAAATAAATAAATAAAATCTTAAAAAAAAAAAAAAAGTCTCTACACCCAAGCCATTTCTGACAGCTGTCCGGGAGAAGGGAGGTTCTGTTAAGAGAAATCCTGTGCCCCTTCAGAACTTGTCCCAGAAACCCCTCATACGGTCTCTGAAGGGTTTTTAAAGTTGAACACACACAGCACAGAAAGCAGGGACTCTTTTAGCCTGGGGAGACAGGAGATGGTAAATTGGGGCCGCGTGTTGAGAAAGTAACCCTAGTAGTGTCCAGACTTAAAATGTGCAGACCCAACGATCCCAGCCTAGGGCTGCGGGCTGAGGAAGTGGGCAAACAAGTCAAAAGACTTCCTTGAAGCTCCTTGTAATAGTGAAAGGTTGTCAAGTTTTGTTTAACTGATGCCAATCAGTTAATATAATGCCCTCACTACAATATAATGCCCTCACTACTAAAGAATCAGTGCTGTAGTATTTAGCGTGGAATCTGGAGGCCCTTGGATGCCCAGTGACCAGAACTTACAGCTGTGTGGCCTTGGTCACATCTGTCTGAGCCCCTGTTCCTGAAGCAGAGGGTCAGGATGCTGCTACCTCTCCTCCCTCAAAATTCACGGCTCCCGTATTCCAGGGGCACCAGGGGAACCAGGCACTGTGGCCTGCACAGTGTTCATTCAGAGACACGAGCCTTCAGGGGGTTCATCTAGCTGGGTGCAGGCGATGAGTGGAGCAACTCCAGACTGTGCTGAACATCTAATGCGGGGTGTGCCCCCCACCTACACTGACCAGCCACAGCTCAGGCGGAGATGGTTTGCAGAAAGCACCCAGAGGAGCAAAGGAGGAAGGAGACTGGACTCCAGCCAGACAGCCTGGGTTTAAATTCTGGCTCTGACGCGCGCGTGCGCTTGAGCACACACACACACACACACACACACACTCACACTGGCTTTGTGACCTTGAACAAGTTCCTTAACCTCTGGCCTCAATTTCCTCATTTGTAAAATGGAGATAATAGGAGTACCCACCTCATAGGGTTGTTGTGAGGATTAAATGAATTG